GAGCAATCAGTTCAAAGGAAGAACAATATAAACATATTCTCTGTAAAAAGTATCCATGTTTGGAGGAGTATCTAAACATTATGAAATATACAGAATAAATTAGAATACTTTCCAATGATCCAAACTGTCATGACGAATGAACAGGACAGCAAATACAAGCGTTTGAAATGTGTTTCCTCTGGAGGGGGGCTGCATCTCTTCAGGGATAAGGTGATGTCAGTCATGGTGGGGGGGGATCTCTGAGGGGACCGCTGATCCTTCATAGAAAGGATCCAGCTGACCTCAGCGTAAAGATCAGTTGAAATTTAAATCAAAAATGTTCAAGTTGTACTGTTTACCTTTTCTGCATCCTGTAGGACTGGAGCATTACATTAAATGATATCCCGCCCTACTAAGACAAGAGTAGGAAATATTTTATGTTTAATAACGGATAATAAAACTATGGAATTTCATGTGTTATGTATCGCTTTAATGTGCACAGTCATGACAAAATTGTATAGACACACAAAAGGAAAGTTTTTTTAAACGGTTCAACTGACATCATTTATTAACATGAAAGATCCTCCAAATATTGACATGAAAATGAAAAAATAAATGTTTGTCAAGTCATTTTTGGGGTGCCAGATGGTCCACCCTGGTAGAAATGTGAGTATATATATATATATATATATATACACACTGTGCAGTTTGGAAGCGTGGACCACTAAGCTGCTTCAGCTCTGGTCAGGTCTATCCACATCATCTGTGCTAAAGCTAAAGGGCTTATCGTAGCCCATCAGGTGGTTGAAGTCATGTGGAAGGGGGAACATGTCAGGGTTCACCAGCAGCCCTGTGTCACCAGCGTAGAAGGTGGTGAACATCTGGCTGACAGCCGGGATCCGGACCTGCCTTTGGTGGAACACGGTCCTCTTCTCAGTGAGGAACACGCTGTAGGTGATGGCGGTGTACTTTTCTCTGTCTGGGCTGTGGTAAAGGCGGATCACGTAGCCCTTGGTGATGAAGTGGAGGACGACTGGGGTGATGAAGGTGAAAAATCCCACGACTCCACAGAATGCAGCCTGTAGGGCGAGGCTCTGGACCCCCAACCCGGTCTTCAGGAGGATCTGAGGCATGATGAGGAGGCTGGCCCCGCTGGAGCTGTAAGAGAACAGCTTCACACCTGACAGGAGATCCAGACAACACAGGTTACAGGAGAAGAGTACTCCTGCGTACGTATTACGTATTCTATGACTGGCCTCCATTTTCTATGACTGTAAAATATGATATTATCCAGGACAATTTATAATCTGATTGGTACTTTTTTGATTTACAAGTTTAATATTTTAGTATGCTCTTTTAAATTTGCCTTTAATCTGCACTGCTCTATTTATGTTCATTTCCCCATTACTGCAGCACTTTTCCCACAAAGCTTCATGAGAACTTAGTTCATCAGAACTCTTTAGTTCTCATGAACTAAGTACAGATCGCGTTCACACCGGAATAAGTTCCTGGGGGTGGATTAGGCAAAGGAAGTCACTACTTCTTCTTCTGCTGCTTTGGGTTTACTGGCAGGCCGCAAACAACTTCACGGCGTAGACTGCCACCCGAAGTCCCCGGCCGGAAGTCCCCGGAGTTGGGGACTGGCTTCAGTAGAAGCTGCTGGGACTCCCAGCAGCTTCGACTGAAGCCTTCAGAGTAAATCGCCAGAACGCCGACACCTCCTCATCTCCACCGCTCCCATGTTTTCTTTTGTGCTGCCATAAGTTAGTCTCTCTACGTTTCTGCGCTGGGCTAATGCTAATGCTAATGCGAGGATAATAAAATGGCGGCCTCACAAAACTTTTTGGGAGTTTTACGGGGCGTGGTTTGCATTCCGCCCAGCCAATCAGACATAGGAACCTTTTTCTCCCACAAAAGTACCTGCTCTCTAGCAGGGACGGAAAAGGGGGTAAAAAAGGTCCTAAAACTAATTTTAGTTGCGGCACTTTTTGGTGTGAACGCGACATTTCGGAACTATTTCGGAACTAAAGTGGGAAAGGTACTGCGGTGTGAACGCGCCTATTGTGGGAGCACTTTAAAGGATTTTTGATTTTTAAACACTAACGAAATCGCAGCTAGCTCCAGTACCAAAGAAAGTGGCCTTGTCTACAAATCAATTTATACAGATTTATGAACAAATCTTAGTTTGGTACAGATCTATGGGCTCAGAACAGTCTCATAATACACACAGAAGGATTCAAACTTGTATTTCATGATGCGCAAAAGGATTCACATTTGTATTTCCGGATCCACACTTGTGTTTTTCAATGCACACACAAATGT